GACGTTTTAGGAACAATATCTCCATTGCGAAAATTGGGAAATGATCAAGAACTAATCGAAAAAACTCAGTTTAGTTCGTTCTGAAGCGTACACATGTATATACAGAAAAATGTTACATAAATATTACTTATTTCAAATAAATTTAATAAAAGTATTTTTAAATTATACTATCAAGAAAATATTCTTTGTAATGATATAATCATTACTCAAAAGAAGAAGAATAAAAATTGCATTCTCTCTTAGCACTAGAATGATATTTTTCTGTATTTTTCTATTTACTACCGCTCATCGAAGTTCCGAAATCCGCATAAATTTCATCGAAAGATCGTGTAAAAAATTAAGATATAGAACAGCAATTGTATTATTTTTGAAATATATTTTAGATCACTTGTACACATATTAGCAATTGCAAAAGATTTATAAATTATTTTTAATTTAATTTTACACAAAATTAAAAATAATTTATAAAATTTTTGCTAGTCTATCCCCTTATGGGGATAGGTTGGTAACATACACCATAGCATGAGCCCATATTTGTGTTCTCTCATCAAATTTTTGAAATTTATTAATTATATTATCAATGTTATACAAAGTAAAGACAATACTTTTTGGCAAACAAAATTAATACTAATTTATAAAGCTTTTGCAATCGTTAGTATGTATTGTATACAAGCGATTCAAAATATATTTAAAAAATAATACAATTGCTGTTTTATAAAGCTTAATTTTTTAAATGATCATTTGATAAAATTTATGGGAGTGTCTGAACTTCCAGCGGTAGTGTATATACACGAATAATAATCGGCACACAGAAAAAGGTTCCTTCCATTTAAAAAGTTTCTTTTCTATTGAAAAAAAAATTAACTTATTTCCTGCCAAAGAAAAATTTTGACTTGCGAGCCTACACTTAGAGAAAAGTTTCTTCAATTTAAAGAAACATTGCTTTGTCATATGATTAAAGAAAAAAATTGTCTTTTATTTGAACATAATATTTTTAACAAATAAAAAATTTATTTTATTTAAAAAAATGAGGTTTCAATTAAAGAAATGATGTTAAAATCAAAGAAATTTGTTCTTAAACCGTACAGCAAAGATTTTTTGAATCGAAGAAACCTTTCTTTGGGTGCGTGTGATATACTCGTAGACTCGCGAGTCAAGAAATAATTTCTTTTGTCACTTTTGTGACAAGAAATCTGATAAAGCGCTATTATTTTCATATCACTTTGCAGTAGATAGCATAACGGATTTTTTTTTAAGTGGTATCCCCAGTAGGTCTAATCCACTTTTGCATTTTAATGCAAGAATTGTTCAAAGTGCTTTTCGTATTCTGTAAACAGATTTTGGCTCTTCGAGTAATGTTGCGCGTGGCACGGTTTTTCTGGCGTAATGGTATTGAAAGCTGCGAGAATTGCTTCTCGCATCTTTGCTTCAGTATTATGACGAATATGTTCGACTAAATTTTTGATATGACCCCAATCGAAATAATCGAGCACGTTAAGATCCGGCGACCGCGCCGGCCAAATAGCCATCTTGATCCATCCACCTGTCCAGATAGCGCGTATCTAACACATTGCGTACCCGCCGCGAAAAAAACGCAGGAGCCCCGTCATGTTGGAAAATGTGTTCCTCCCGTTCACGAAGAGGAACATCTTCAAGAAGGATGGGCAACTCATTTTCCAAAAAGTCGACGTATATCTTTCTTGTTAAGCGTGGCGGGTGAAAGAGAAGACGGATCTGAAAATTATTACAAGAGTGTGATTTGATAAAAAGTGTTTGTGTGTGTGAGAATACTTTATAAAATAACAAAAATACCTTCACAAAAACAGATTTGCGGCTTTTAATTTTGTACAAGAAGTTGCTGCACCCTCTGATAGTGATACGGGTGCACTGCGTTCTCGTGTATAGTACAATGCACCACGCACCGAGAAACACCAAGCGCATGAGTCACATGGCGTATGCTGTTCCCGAGGTTTATCTCGAATGCTCCCAGGATTCTCTCCTCCATGTTTATGCGTGCACATATTCTGTCAACCCCGCGATCTTGCTAAATGCGTGGACGGAGACCAACAAACGACATGAGCGTCGATGTTTGTTTGTTAACAATTTCGTTTGTCTAACACTGGACGCGAATTCAGTATATTTCTTTAGAACCAAACACGATACTGTATCCATTTTGTGCAAAATGGCAAACTATAGCTCAAGACTACAATGAGATGATAATTATGTACGGTGGAGCCGGAAGAAACGCTCGTACCGCCGCCTATTTGTACACGGAACAGTTTCCTCAACGCGCACATCCTAAGAAAGTCATTTTCCAGAGATGTATACGACGTTTACGGGATATAGGATCCATGTTCGGATTGTGCGGATTCGGCATGACCGCGATAGTGGCAGAATACATGCATGCGTATGTTACGTCTGGCGGACTCGCACGACTCTTTTCTTTCGTAGAGATCTGGAATTCGTCGAAACACTAAAATTTTGTCTTCCTTCCTTTTTTCTGTAAAACAAGGAATCTGGTATCTCCTCGTGAATGTCGCTCCGAGATAAACTAAATCAATAATAAATAAGAAACAGCACGCGGCATTCAGGGATAGATGCGGGTTGGCGATGATGCATGGGCGCCTTCTTGGCGCACGAGACATGCGTTTTCTCATGAACCTTGAGATCATAAAATTTTGGAAGACACTTTCCCATACTACAGATTCCTGTCAACATCCTTTCCTCCCCCAAAATCTTGACCAATCCAAGAGCAAAGGAAAATCCTACTACCAGCTAACGAAACCTATTCCACCAATTCAAATTTAAGTAATCCGAGGCGATTAGTATAAAAATCGCGGTTCCGCAGCCCTCGATGCAGATTTTCCTCCAAGTTTTCTCAAGCTGCACTTGTCGTGCAGATTTATCTCCAAATTCTCAAGCTACACTTGTCGTGATTTTCTCAAGCTACACTTGTCGCGATTTTCCTCTAAGAAAATTTAAAGAAGTTGTCGCGATATTCAAAAAGTTCCATCCGATTTTCGTAGCCCTTTTTCTCCAGTAGAGTCAGTGTTAAAGAAATATCATCAGCCTTGCACATCCTGGCCGGAGGACCTCCAACAATAAACATCTCAGTAGTAAGTCAGTATATCTCTATTCTCTGGCTCCCTCCCCGCTTTATCTTTTGGTAATTTATTTCAATATTTCATTTTATCTTTTTCTATTATTCATTTGGTTTATTTTATTTTTATTCTTTTCTTTCTTTCTTTCTCCCTTTTGACTTCCTATGTACAAGAAAATGAAAACATTGGAGTCCGTTCACGTTATAATTTCAATCTGTCGCCATCGCCCCACGATAATTGTTCGCCGCCGATATCTGTCGACCGGTCGCTCGTGTCCGTTAATACTATCATCATCCGAGGAAAATTAAGCCAAACCTTCTCAAATCCACTCACCAAAATCTCCTTCTCTTTTTATTCTCTCGCTATTCTCTCCGCTATAACTCCTCCCGTCCATTCTGCCACGATACTTTTCACACACACACGCACACATACACTTACACATGTATAAATCATAATTATCAAAATTGTATTATTCTTATTGTATTTATTTTCTTTTATTTTTATTCAAAATGAATGATCAATATTATTTTTTTATTATATTATACTATTATTAAATTAACTCCCCAGTAGTCTTTTTTCTAATATAACCTCTCCTCGTATTCTTAAGTTCTCCCGCGATTGCACTTCGCCCTCTCTCCGGTCACTTGAATTAAGTTCCATGACCGAAAGTCAGGGCATACGGCCGTACTGGCGCAGCTGGCGTTAAAGTGCGCCCTCTCGGCGCACTGACCCAGTTTGGGCCCTTTAAAGGTATGTCCGACTCGTGTGTTTAGCGGAGCACGAGCAGAGGTTTCCACTTCGTCCTTCGTGCGATCCCCGACTCGTTAGGAGCCTCAGGACGAAGCGAAGAGCCTCCCGATTTGCGTCGGTCCTTCTCCACGGCTCCCTTGCGGTCCGGAGCCTGGATACAACCAAATCGGTCTAACAATTCGGTTCCTTGTTACGTTCACACCCTCAGCTCCACATGTGCGCGGAGCTTGGACGTAACACGTAAATGGAAGAGAGAACCCCGGGAACAGCATACACCATGTGGCTCATGTGCTCGGTGTTTCTCGCCGCGTGGTGCATCGTACTATACGCGAGAACGGAGTGCGCCGTATCACTATCAGCGGGTGCAGCAACTTATTGCACACGACTAAGAGCCGCAAATCTGTTTTGTAAAGGTATTTTTGTTATTTTATAAAGTATTCCCGCTATTTTTTTTAAATATTAACAGCAAAATGTAACGTAGGATTGCTCGCGCAGTGTCTGCGGAACGTCCTTTTCCTCGACCGCATCCTAAACGGGCAAAGCAACCTTTGCACCAAATCGCTGTTCAACTCCCGGAATCATGTATTATGGGCAGTTGAAAATTCGCACGCTGTTCGACAAGCTGCGTTTCAATATCGTTGGACGATAAACGTGTGGGCAAGAATAATAGCGGACCGAGTCGTCAGTAATAATAACTTGATTATTTAAGAAATTCTCTCTCTCTCTCTCCCTCTCTCTCACACACACACGCGCGCGCACACACACTTTAAAATCACACTCTTGTAACAATTTTCAGATCCGTCCTCTCTTTCACCTACCACGCCTAACAAGAAAGATATACTTCTGTCAAAAAAGTACCGGGAATTGGTCAATAAAACACAAAATAGTTATTATTCATTCAAATTTATTGTATCGCCTTCAAAGTAGGCTCCTTTCGAAATAATACATTTATGCCAACGAATAATCCAATCATCAAAACATTTTTTAAACGCATTTTCCGAAAATCGACTTCAGTTCTCGACGCGAATTCTCTTTTATGTCTTCTATCGACTGAAAACGAGTGCCCCGAAGTGGTAATTTGAGTTTTAGAAAGAGAAAAAAGTCAGCCAGAGCCATATCTGGTGAATACGGTGGTTGTTCGATTTTTGGTCAGAAATTCGTTCACAATGATAGCCTTGTGAGATGGTGCATTATCATGGTGCAAAATCCATGAGTTTGTTTTCCACAAATCTGGCCTTTTTCGACGAATTTGCTCTCTCAAACGCCGCATAACGCCCAGATAATATTCTTTATTTACCGTCTGACCTTCTGGCAAAAACTCCGAGTGCACAACACCGCGACAATCAAAGAAAACAGTTAACATCACTTTGACTTTTGATCGACTTTGACGTGGTTTTTTCGGTTTTGGCTCAGTTGGAAGGCGCCATTCCGAAGCTTGTTGACTGGTTTGCATATCAAACTCGTAAACCCATGTCTCATCACCAGTTATAATGCGTTTTATGAATGTGGGGTCGGAATTAACTCGTTCTAACATGTCTTCAGCGACCTTTACGCGATTGAGTTTTTGAAGAAAATTGAGGTCTTTCGGAACTAGTCGAGCGGCAACGCGTTCCATGCCCAAACAATCGCGTAAAATGATACGAATTGATTCGTGAGACACCGTAAGTTCAGCGGCTATCTCTCTCAAACTGAAATGACGATTTTCAATCACCATTTCCTTCACTTTATCGATGTTAACTTCAGTTGAAGACGTTGATGGCCGACCAGAGCGAGGCAAATCTTTCACCACATCTCGACCGCTTTTCAATGCACTGTACCATTCATATGCACGTGTTTTTGATAAAGTCGATTCACCGTAAGCCTTCTGTAACATCTTCAGCGATTCGGCACACGAAATTCTATTTGCAATACAAAATTTGAGACAAATTCTTTGTTCGATCTTTTCATTCATTGTAAAAATCGCAAAACACACTTGAGATGAACTGATAAAATCGAGCACGATAATCACATTAAATGACAGATGGCACTCCAGCTCCGCGTCAGTATAGAGGACAGTTATACCAACTTAGCGACAAAAAGAATTTTGACAATTCCTTTAAGCGGGCTTTTTAAATGATCAATTCCCGGTACTTTTTTGACAGAATGTACGTTGATTTTTTGGAAAATGAGTTGTCCACCCTTTTCGAAGACGTTGCTCTTCGCGAACGGGAGGGACTCATTTTCCAACTTGACGGGGCTCCTGCGTATTTTTCGTGGCGGGTACGCAATGTGTTAGACATGCGCTATCCGGACAGGTGGATGGGTCGAGGTGGCCCAATCATTAGGTCGGCGTGGTCGCCGAATCTTAACATGCTTGACTATTTCGTTTCGGGTCATATCAAAGATTTAGTCATAGTACTTTACATAAAATTAAAAATAATTTATAAATCTTTTGTAATTGCTAGTATGTGTACAAGTGATCTAAAATATATTTCAAAAATAATACAAATGCTGTTTTATGTCTTAATTTTTTACACGATCTTTCGATGAAATTTATGTGGATTTCCGAACTTCAATGAGCGGCAGTGTAGAAAAATACAGAAAAATATCATTCTAATGCTAAGAGAGAAAGCAATTTTTATTTTTCTTCTTTTGAGTAATGATTATATCATTACAAAGAATATTTTTTTGATAATATAATTTAAAAATACTTTTATTAAATTTACTTGAAATAAGTAATATTTATGTAACATTTTTCTGTATATACATGTGTACGCTTCAGAACGAACTAAACTGAGTTTTTAACAGTTTTTTTAAACAGTTCTTGATCATTTCTCAATTTTCGCAATTGAAATATTATTTCTAAAGCGCCGAATATCCACCATCGATAGCTTGACGCGCAGGTAATGGGGCAAGCGCGCCGTTCACTACCGCGAGCCTCTAACAATAAGCTCGAACAGCGCGGCGCGCGTGCTAGGTCATCCCCACTCCTTGCGGCCCGCGCACCGTGCTCTCGGTGGGCCGTATCTTGGGCAATAGTAGTTCGGGCGAATGCGCGTATTCGGCTATCTTTAAACGTTGATATCTCGTTAACTATTGCGAGCATTGCAAAATGGATTTTTCGACTCAATTTAGTCCGCTCTACCTGCTCAAGACGGGTGGGACCATAAGTTGCGTGCATGCGTGCGTGCGTGCGTGCGTGCGTGCGTGCGTGCGTGCGTGCGTGCGTGCGTGTGTGTGTGTGTGTGTGTGTATCATACTGTTTCTCTTCTTTGTTGACTTTTAAATTTAATTAATTAATTATACTATAGTTAAGTAGGATAAATGGAAAACCCGAATGTAAAAACACATTTATGCCATTGTTACGTCCAGACTCCACAGTTCTTTTCTTCGACAAGAAACTTTCGTCATCACAAAAAATTAGTGAGCAGTAAACCACTTGAAATAGGAGCTGAGAGCAATAAATGCTCGTTTTAAACTAACAACCCATCCGGGACTGAACCGTTGAGTTAGATATTTGAACCAAATAGACAAACCTTATCTCGAGGACTATAAAATGAAATAAGAGCTGAGAACAATAAATGCTCAGTTTTTAACTAATAAACCACTCGGGACAGAACCGTTGGGTTGATATTGAAA